TGAAGACGAAGAAGTCGTCACGTTAGCCTTATAAACATCTCTAACAACCTCGCCTAAGCTCGACAATATAAACACCTTTGACTTTTGTTCCTAAACGGTCTCTTGACATATCTGGCGTAGTATGAGCCAATATTGGCAAGCTATGGTTGACGGTGTTTTACGCAATTGTGTACTGTTACCAACGGGCTAACGAATCTTGGAAGAGCTGAGAAATAATCGACGAAAGTAGACCTGGTTTAAACTGACGCTCTGCAGTGCGGACATTAGTGGTTCGATCTTGCGACGAGTCAGTTAATTGCACAGATGATGCATGTCGAAATCGAATGCATGGATCAATCTCTCAGGGGCTGACCAATTCTGAAAGCTTAATCGTTTTTTAGTTTACTTATATCCTGGTAATGCGTATAAGCGGTGCATGACGGATTACAATCTGATCATGAAAAACAAATACTGAAGAAAAATTGTTAGGTAAAGTTCGAGAACATGGCAGGTTCCTTAACTCACAACCGTTAGCTGTTATCTTATTTCATATCTTTCTCAATGTCTTGCCGATACGGTGTAAATGAGAAACCTAAGTGAAGGTTCCAATTCTCAGTAATGTGAGCGTAGTGCATCTTATTTGTTTCTGCTTTTTCTTTTGACAATTGGGCAACGACGTGACCTCTGTAAGAGTCATAGAATACTGAAACAGCGATGGCTTTCGACATTAGAATAACCAATTCTGTGCCTGCAAGACTCAAGACGAACGCCTCCCTGTCTTAACACACTTACTTACTTGGATACTTCGACGTCCGTCTTCACAAGCTGTGCGGATCCCAGCACATATACTACTCGTTCCCTTCTCTCGCAATCGTAGTCTATGGTGGTGGTCTTGTTCGAGCATGGTAGCGCCAGCGAGTCTCATACCGTGGTCTGTAAAACAACTGCAGATGTGGGCACAGCTGATTAACTTTGTTTACGAACACGTCCGCCCAACGTGTAGGTGGTCGTGCAAGGGGACGTTTGCATTCTCTTGGAGTCCACTCTACTGTTCCTTTCGTCCATCTGTCGTCTCTTCTTCTCACTATGTGACCGGCCCATCTATGTTTCGCTGTCGATGTATATTCTCCTGGATCTCGAAGATGTGACAGATTTCGAAGGTCAGAGCCTCGCATTTCGGCTAGATATTGACAGTGCCGGTTATATTTCAGAAGACATCGCTCGCGCGCTCTATGAGTAAGGCGAAGCATTCTTGACGTAGTTGAAGTATCAATCCATGTCTCTGCAGCATAACAGAGCGCTGGGAGGACTGTAGAATCAAAGAGATGAGTGCGGATTTTCGCGTCTTTCAGTTGGTCGATGGCTTAAGAGGCCCGAATACGGCGCAACCTCCTCCTCTCCTTCTTCTATTTAAGCAGCTCGTAGTGCTCGGTCGAATCTTCTTTAACCTGCCAGTGACGTTTAGGCAGGACTTCGTTCAGAATGTTCTCGTCGTATACAGCTAGACTTTTTCCTCGTGGTCGGTGAAGAGAGTTCTTTTCCAGCTTGCGGTTGAATCGAATCTTCGCGCGATGAAGGCGGTGATCGGAACCAGTACAGAGTTACGGGACCACCGATTTGTCAAGTAGGCACCATCTTCTATTTGTCAGGATGTGATCAATCTCCGCATGAGTCATGCCGTTAGGCGACTCCCTTGTCCAGCGGCGGCTTTTTCTTCTGGAAAAACGAGTTTCCATGGAAGAGACGTGCTGCTGACAAGAGCCTGAGAGGCATTCGCATTTCTTTCTCATTATCCAAAATTTCCGATCCTGTATTCGCTCTCGTTGGCCTTTCCTATTCTGGCATTGAAGTCTTCAACAACAAATTTATTACATGCCTCTTCATTGCGGATAACTTTTTCTTATAGTAGAACGCATGTAATTCGTACTCATCAGCCGTGTCGGTCGGTGAGTAGCAGTTGGTGATAGTGATCTTGTTATGATGAGACAGGTGAAGACGGAGGACGGCTATGCGAGGGGAAGGATCACGTATGAGTCGACGAGATGGACGATGGACGGGTGGACGACAAAGCCTACGCCACCGACATTTCGTGACGGGACCTTTTCTCCACGGATCACAAGGGTCCCGTTGTTTAGTTGGCGTACGTCGGTCTTCTTGATTTTTGTTTCTTGTAATGCGATCACATGAAATTTATTGTGATCTGCGGCTACAAGAAGGGCGTGAAGATCGGCGTCTGTGGAGAGTGTTCTGGCATTATACGTGCAAAGTAAGAAACAATCTCCATGGCGTGTCGTGCGTGTGTTCTTCAGATCCGGGTCCAATGACGTGCTGTGCATCCCGAGATTTTCTAGCCTCTCACCGGTCGTCTCACCGCCTGACGTCATAGACGGGGACACCCAGTGTGCGGGTACTGAGGCTGGCCCATTGCTGGGCGTGTAACTTGGTACTCTCTGGACTCATGACGTAACCTTGCATGGGCGTATCCAGGTCTTCACCACGATGTGGATCGGAGGGAGGTGTGTTTTCGGCGACGAATCCTTCGCTCGGTCTTCCTACTAGTTGATTCGGAGAAATGTTAAAACCGAAATCAGAAACGAAAGTCTTCCTGTCTTAACACTATGTAGTTCTGATTTTCCGAAGCGAACGCCATATGATCATCTCGTTTTATTGATCCAAAGCTCATATTTCGAACATGAAGGCAGCTGAATAAGTAAGATTTCGTGCTGCAAGACAAAGTAATGTTTTTAGAACAATTTTTTTTGTATGTCCGGAAGAAATACAAGTTGTTACCACCGGACATTGTCATTATATATCCACCATCAGCATCGTGTATAAAAGGGCATCACTGAGTGAGGATGCCTCATTCGAGAAGATGGCTCACTGAAGAAGATCTGGCTCGACACGAAGGCGAAGACGCAACGTCGAGGCGAACAACAAGCAGGGACCATCGACTCGGATCACCGGCTCTGAGGAAGACGAAGACGTCGAAACGTTAGCCGAAAATAAATATATTTATCAACCTCGTGTAAGCTTATCAAGAAAGAATACATATTTAGAACAATTGTTCATGCTGTTACGTTGAATTTTTTCAAGCCAAAATATCACTCCCCACTTTTTGGAAGTTTCAGTTCTAAGCGGGGGCGTGTAGCGCAGTGGTCGAAGGCGCCCTGCAACACACACCTGGAATCGGTCCCCGCGCCAGTGGCCCACCAAGCATTCCTTCCATCCGGGGTCGGCAAACTGGTGCCATACCTGTCTGGAAGGATAGCAGCACTGGCTCGATACATCGGTAGGCCACGGCGAGTCATTGCGAAAGCCAGATATACATTCAATCACCTCCAACGACGCTTATTCCCTGAGGGATGCACCATGAATTCAAATTCATGGCGCATCCCTCAGAGAAGGATGAACGCCGAAAGCTTCATTCTTTATTTCATTTTTATCCACTAAATCTAGAAGATATTACGAGATAAGAAAGGATTGCCGAGCAAAGTGTATATTCATAGCTTTGGATCGTTATCCGAGTAAACCTATTTCTGAACCTCGTGTTAGCTTAGAATACGTATAGGTTCAGTGTTCTGTGCTCTCCGGCAGATCTACTGGCAATTTGCGGATTCGAAAAAAAGTTAGCAGGCTGGGGCGTGGAATCCAGCTGTGAAGTAAGCATCCATTGCACGGAAGCTTTAGGTGCAGCGCACACTCCTATTTCTAACGGTCACCATTCGATCACTGTCGTACCATTGATCGTCGAATGACTCGAGAGGGTGCCATTACATGTTTCATTTTTCCCTGTAGCGTGCAAGAGTAGTCCAACAAGTTATGTTCGCTTCAGTAACTCTTTGAACATCCATATCCTTCTTCTAGGGTTCTCATAAAGAACTCTGACTATCGGGTCGATGATCTTTCTGCAGTACATTTTACATCTCGAGGAATCCAGTCACTAACGGCTCTTGTCCACCGGTTGTTCATCATTCGAATAATGTTTCGTGCCCACCTTATTTTCGAAAGTTTGGCGAAGAAAACGACATCAGTGATTCTCGATCAACGTAGGTAGGAGCTTCGGTTCCCTTCTCTTACTTGCTTGACACAGGATACTTCTAGCGTCGTCCTTTTTACTTCGTGTCTAATAACGCTGAGTGACACTTAATCCTTTTTACGCAGGGACTAGATTTCTGACTCATTCGTTAAGGCAGGAAGTACTGTTGAGTCGAAAAGGTGGGTACTGAGTCGCAAATGAGTTGAAGCGTCACCATCTTTCGCCCAGGTTGCGTGTCGTGTTACCCTGACAACCACCTCTTCTCTTTTGGCCTTCTGTAGCTCTCCTCATCTAATTTCCTCACTTTTTTCTCACATTCTCACCTCGTCAGGGCTTTTTTTGTTTCAAACCTAGTGAATTCCTCTTATAAGCAAGAATTTCAACCTACAAAACTCTTGTTATTTTAATAAAACTGTTCACTACAGGCTACATTTTTCGATTGTTGTCCTTTTTGGAAGCAGAAAGAACCTCAAAGCAATAAACAGACCGAATCACAATGCAAAAAATACTAAAAAAAAAGCATTTTAGTTTCGTACGATGCTAACATGTGAGCAGCACGAGCCATATATGGCTCATCTGCAAAGAAAAATCGATCTGAGTTTCTCAAGGGCAATTTTCGAAAAGAAACACTCTCTATCGTCATGTACGTTCCAATATATACAAAAAACAGTAGTAAAGTTTTCGAGAGTTGCGTAAACGAATGAAATGTTTTCCAGTGGGAAGCTGCTGAATTAACAAGTAAACTACGGCTTTTTCGTGAAAAAAAAAGTCCCACACAAGATGAGATTCAATCTTGATGATAAAGACAAAAACATTCCTTTGATGCTCACTACGTGCTGGATTCGACAATTTTTTTCAAAGAAATGTCGTTTATTTTCTCGTAGGAAAGATTCAAATCTCCTTGACGATGTCCTGAACATTTCCGAACTTCTTTCTTTCACGGATGGCTAGATGACGTCGGCGTCCTTGTCATCTTTGCCGTCGAATGGATCGCTACGAAATCGTAGGACCAATTGGCCAAGGAGCGTACGGAATCGTGTTGCGTGGCAAAATAAGAGAAGTACGATATCTTTATTGAATAGCAATAAAATATTATTTTTTGCGGAGTGCTAACAAAAGTTAGCTTTTTGTCTACTTTTTATTTTCTGCCTGTACAATATTCACGGCAGAGTATTATGCAAAATACAACCACGACTATGCTGAGATATTTGCAAAACTGTGGGCCGCAGGTGTTTGCGGTTAAGAACGAACGCGCTATTACCCTTTACGTTGGCTAACGCGTTCACCACCACACCATGCTTGTCATTCGTTTCGCCTATCTGTCAGCTAGTTCTATCGATCACTGCCAAAGAGAGCGTTGGAGAGGAGGTCGAACTGAGGCCCTTGCTTGCTGATCGACCGCAATCACTAGCTATTCCGCTCCTCAAAAAAAATCGTTGTATTTTCTGAAGTTCGGATCTTAAGGGCATTAATAATTTTCTTAGTCGCCTCCATTTTCCCTTCTTTCCATGTTTCTTTTTTAATGAAGCTTACCTTTAAGAGCGGCAAAATTGTGGCAATCAAGAAGATGACGATCACATCACGAAATCAGTTGCAAATTCTTCGAGAGTTATGTTCACTTAGAAATCTTCACCATTCCAAGGTAAATTTCGAAATAATTTCGGAGTGATTAATTAAAAATAAATCTGTCCTTTGACAACGGCAGAAAGAAGCAGATTCCAGCTATGTCTACTACTTCAAGCACTGAAGCTCGCCGTACACGTTGACATTTCGTCTAATAAATCGATCTTTGGCTTCAGTTCTTTTTTCTATATGTCGTTTTAATCTCATTTTATTCCAATGCACAGCATCAACCTAAACACTGCAGATCACCTGTATCACATGTAGTACCACTGATCGTCGAGTGCTCTAGCGGGCACCAGTAAATCTTCCATTTCATCCTGCCCCGTGCTAAAACAGTCCAGTGGGCTCTGCATGCTCCGTATTCTGTATGTATTGTGCTATGCAAAAATTATGTATAATTATGTGATTACGTCGTAGTTTTTACGGCATACGGTACGGTGTTAAACAAATTTTAGGATGAGAAAGTCAAAGGGGTGGATCCCACGACCGACTTTCTATTAACCTCGGCATTGATCAAGTAATTCTTCGTATTTTTGTTGAGCAAACGCGAGGTGTTACTATTCTTTGTTCACGATTAAGCTGACGTTTCGGCGGATTTCGCCTTCTTCAGAGCCTGGAAAGGTCAAGTTGATAGCAACTCACTCGGCCAGACGCCTCCATAACCAAACAAAGAAACTCCAAACCAAGATTTCAATCACGTTGAACACAGCTTTGCACACTCACCGCTTTCTATGAGGTTTCCACTAAGTATGTCACGTAGAGACCAACCGCACAGAAATCACATGGAAGTATAATGTGCCCCTCACATCAGAAAAGCAGTTTTATATACTGCCCTATATCACGCGTGATAATGAGGCATTCTTCCCTGCGGTTCATTTTCGGATTTCTGGAATTAATCCAGAGTGCCTCGAGAGTTTTTCGCGCCTGTGTTCTTGATTTGCGTGCGAGGATCGTGACACATNAAGTAATTCTTCGTATTTTTGTTGAGCAAACGCGAGGTGTTACTATTCTTTGTTCACGATTAAGCTGACGTTTCGGCGGATTTCGCCTTCTTCAGAGCCTGGAAAGGTCAAGTTGATAGCAACTCACTCGGCCAGACGCCTCCATAACCAAACAAAGAAACTCCAAACCAAGATTTCAATCACGTTGAACACAGCTTTGCACACTCACCGCTTTCTATGAGGTTTCCACTAAGTATGTCACGTAGAGACCAACCGCACAGAAATCACATGGAAGTATAATGTGCCCCTCACATCAGAAAAGCAGTTTTATATACTGCCCTATATCACGCGTGATAATGAGGCATTCTTCCCTGCGGTTCATTTTCGGATTTCTGGAATTAATCCAGAGTGCCTCGAGAGTTTTTCGCGCCTGTGTTCTTGATTTGCGTGCGAGGATCGTGACACATACTTCGAAGTCGTCCCCGTTATGTCTCTGGTTCCTATGCGTTCCTAGCGGGGTATTTGGTCTATTTTTGCCGGCTAGGTGTTCTTTCATGCGGACACAGAGGGGTCTACTCGTTTCGCCAATGTATTGGTCACCACACGTCTTACAGGAGATCAGATAAACTATACCCGAGCTCATGCAATCACCGTCTCTACCACTGAGGCAAATTATGCAATTTTGAGTTGCACATAGACGGTCATATAGGCGGTTACGAACTAGCTGGCGCTTAAGATTTAAACGGATTTTAGCTTTTCCATCTAGATGTTCTTTTATGCGGACACAAAGTGGTCTACCCGTTTCCCCGATATATTCCTCGCCGCATGCATTACATGAGATCAAGTATATTATACCTAAACTCATGCAATCCCCATCTCTGTCGTTAGGACAGATCATACAGTTTTCTGAGCTGCACAGACAATCATAGAGACGGTTGCGAACAAACTGGCGGCATAGGCTATTGGTTGAGATGTTTCTTTTTAGGTTTTGAAGCTGATTGACGTCTTCTGCTCACGTGATTCGCTTTCACTAGTAACCGAATTCGTGGCATTTCACTTGAATGACGTCATCACCGATCCTGGTAGACCGCATTGCGATGAATTCCTCAGGTGACTATTGTGCGGCTAATGATTGCAGTTGTTTTTTTTTCGAGTTTTTTCTCTTCTTGCTTCACCTTTCCCGATATCTTATCAGTTTCTTCGAAAGTTAGCGCAAAATGTTAACTGGTTTTCTTTAACCTACCACATCTCAGCTTATAATAAACTTGGTTAATCAAAATGGAGAACCACGCTATTCTATCTATACGCTTTTGCCAACACGGAATAAGTCTACTTCCAACAAACGCTAAAGTAAAGCTCTCGGCGATAATCAATCCCTAAGGAATGCGCCATGCATTCTACTTCATTAAGTACCCTTTGACGCGATTGAGTGCATATCTGGCGTTTACAATGACTCGTGGTAGCCTACCTGTGTATCGAGCCAGTGCTGCTATCCTCCCAGACAAGTCTAGTACCAATTTTCCAACCCCGGAGGGATGGAGGGCTTGGTGAGCTTCGGGCGCGAGATCCCATGTTTGCGTCGCGGGGCGCCGCCAACCACTGCCCCACACACGCCCCTACTTTTGACAAATTGGACATTGTGTCTGCGATGGATAACGCTATTGTCCTTTCCGGGGAGTAACGCGTTCACCACCACACCATGCGGGTCCTTCGCTCCGCCTGTCTCTCAGCTAGTTCTATCGATCTTTTGCCATCAGCAATCATTAATGGTTAACTTGGTTCAATGCCGATTTGGGCTCCCAGATCAATCCCGCTGACGGGTGATTGGTGATGGCAAAAGATCGATAGAACTAGCTGAGAGACAGGTGAAGCGAAGGACCCGCATGGTGTGGTGGTGAACGCGTTACTCCCCGGAAAGGACAATAGCGCGTTCGTTCTCCATCGCAGACACCTGTGGTCCGGAGCTTTGCAAAATTTTCAACACCATCAGCATTATAGTGGTTATAAATAGTCTTTGAAAACTCAAAAAACAAAAGAAAAATAGAAGAGCTTCAGGTATTTCTTCAAACAAATTGTCGAAGGTGTGAAATACATCCACTCACAAGGCATTATGCACAGAGTGAGTTTTTCTTTTCGTTCTGTCATTGTTCTTTCCTTCCTTCCTTTTCTTTTCTCGTTCGTAAACAATTTGTAAAAAAATGGGAGAATTCTTCGGGATTCAATCTGATCAATAACCAATAAGTAATTGCTGTTCGATCGATACATATAGAGAAACCACTGCTTAATATACATCATCATCAGTTGGAAAGTACTTCAGTGAGATATTAAACACCAGTGGTAAAGAAGGGTTAATATTTTTATTTTCCTGGTACTTATTTTCTAAATTTGCCTTAGACAATCTGACATCCAAGTGTTTTATGCATCTCCGATTTCCGAGCGTCTATTCGTTTCCTCGCATCGGTCGTCCACGACTATGTGTGGATTCTGTTCGTTCGTGTTCGACAAAAGCTTGAGGATTTGGATGAGCTTTTTAATAAACACATCGTGGTCATTGGTTTGATCCCGTGCCTCGAACTGCTTTGAGAAACCACTTTCATCCACTTATTGAACGGCGTCACTACCGTTGCACTTCTCGAGCCTTAAGTGTTATTATAAATATAATCTGAAAAAGGCAATTATAAATTTAATGCTGACGGCAAAGAATAGGCAACAGCTTTTTGTTGAATAAAACTCGTTCGTTCCATGCGGATTAGTGGAAAATCTTTTTCGAATCCAAGTTTTTCAGGATTTGAAGCCAGAAAACATACTGGTTTCATCGCAAAATCTCATAAAAATCGCCGATTTTGGTCAAGCATGTCTGTATTTTCCGAACGATGATCGAGAATATGAAGAAAATGTGAGTGTTCTCGTTTTCAATCACTAATTTGAAGGATTAGAGAGAAGCACCTCGGAGTTTATGGTTGGATGAGCTTTTTAATAAACACATCGTGGTCATTGGTTTGATCCCGTGCCTCACGAATATCAAGGTCGCGATTCCTCCGGGATCAGTAAATTGGTACCACATTTTTCTGGCAAGATAAAAAATCGAACTTAGTACCGGGAAATCATTGTAGCCCGAATATTCACTTTATCATCATTACGGTGCCACGAATGGAGTTGAATGCATGACACATCTCTATGAAGCTGGTCAACTCCGAACGGTTGTCCTTTTATCAGTTCATTTTTCGTCATTTTATAATCTTATTAAGAAAGGTATTCAGCTTTGATAACCACTCATGGGATGCGGCACGTCCGTTAACAAGGGCGTATCACCAAGATCTCTTACAAACCCCTCAAAGTGAACTGATTGTTGGGAATTTCTTTCTCTTCGGTTCGTTCTTTATTTTCGCTTGTCGCTCAGTAAGTTCAATAAATGTAAACCTAGAATTTCGCCACATTCTTCTAATCAATCGAATGGTTTTTTTTGCTACGATCGCTTTCTATGAAAAACATTAGGCTTTTTTCTTCCAGTCATTGGCTCAAAGCTTTGGATATATCAGTAAATTAATAACATTGTTGGCGGCTTAACAACGACAACTCAACCATGATGTTGCTCTGCTAGTCATTTCCAGATTAAAATTAGTTTGCGGTAAACATGACTTTAGAGGAGCAGAAACTCAATTGAAAGGACAGTCGATGCGTATAAATAACATGCTCTTGAAAATTGACTGGAGGCTGGTGGCTCAGTGGCTTCTCTGAAAAGCCAGAATAGGGAGTTCATGCTACTCGCCTTCTTTTGTATAGTTTTCACTTCTTGTTGTTTTCCACATTCACTGAGCGTCGAAGGTACACATACAAGCCGGTTTCTGAAATCAGAGAGCCATCCACTTTGATTTATTCACCTTCTCACCATGGGTTCTTCCTGAGTCTCCTGGCTAGTTAGGTATTTTTTTAGCTCATTAATCATCGTCTCTGCTTCGTTGGTACTTTTTAAAAAGGTGTCAATATCATCAGCAGAACGGAGATTTGGCATAAATTTGACATAATATATATGCCTTTTTGCGTCGTTTTCTTGTTCAACAATCGTGAGGTTGAATACAGGGCAGCATACATTTACTTCCATAGATAAACACAATACAATGCAACACACACTAGCTGACGTCTCGGCAGTATCGCCTTCATCAGAGCTTGTAAGGGTATACTGATATACAATCTAGTAGGCCAAACGCTTCAATAACACTTACAAAAAAACGAAAAACTCTACGGTAATTACATGATCAACAACTTCTCGAAAAATTCACCGCTTCTCATGTGACTTCCAATGAGAAAGTTTAGAACAGCTGATTATAGTCGCATGTGGTTGATGACTGCACCATCCCACATCAGAAACCGATGCGAAGATACGGAGTCAGGTCGCGTGTAACCTCTGGGCATTCCTCCCTGCTATTCATCGTAGGGTTCTTGGCATTTATCTAAAAAGCCTCAAGGAGTTTTCGCGCTGGTGTTTTGGACTCCTGTGCAAGGATATTGACTTTTACTTCAAAATCGTCCCTGCTACGCTTTTGTATCCTATGCGTGCCTAGTGAGGTGCTTCGTCTTAGTTTTCGTTTGCCATCTAGGTGTTCTTTTATACGGATACACAATGGTCTGCCCGTTTCTCCAATATATTCACCTCCGCAATTATTACAAGAGATTAGGTATATCGTACCTGAACTCATGCAATCACCGTCCCTGCCGTAAGGGCAAATTACGCAATTTGTTGTTTCACACAGACGGTCATACAGGCGGTTGCGAACTAATTGACGACGTAAAGTGGCCGGTGGTATTTCAACTATCGCTACCGATTCCTCTAGAACTGTCCTTCTTAAGCATAGTTTAAAAACTACGCTTACTTTATCGCTAATAAAGGGCAACATAAACGGGATTTTCTTTTGGCCAAGTGTTTCGCTTGGGTGCGTCGTTCTCCTTGTAAACTTATCTCGTGGGGTTACTATTTCGTAGCCACTGGAGATGGCTATTTGCCGAGCCAAGTCGCCAGGTTCTTCCTTTAGTTCCCTGGTTGTGCGCACAGAGGTGGCTGTTCGAAACATGTTTCTCACAAGCGCCCTCTTTGTGTGCGAAGTGTGGAGAGAAAGGAAATAAACCTCAATGTTTTTGTTGCTTGGTTTTCGGTACCACTTTGTCATGTAACAGCTAATTGGCAAGTTTATTTGAACGTTTAGAAACGGAAGCCAGTTTTTGTTCGGTTTCTACCGGGTGAACTTAATGTACCCAGACTGCTCGTTCAATAATTCAAAGCATTTGTCCATATCTTCATGCGTAGAGAAGACGACAAAACAATTATCTACATACCTGCAGTAGAGTAGTGCCCGGCGATCGAGAACAGGAGTTTCTATCTTAGACATAAACACAACGGGAAGGCTTGGTGCCAGTCGCTGTCCCATTGCCAACCCCCTTATTTGCGCAAAATATTTCCCAGTCCATCTGAAAATCGAGCAGTTTAGGCACTCCTTTAAAAGGGCCACTAGCTGTTGGTCAAGCCATGCATATTTATTCTTACTTCATGTTCAACAAAAAGTTCGAAGATGGTTTGCATTGCGGAGTCATTCGACACGTTGGTGTACAGCGCGGAAACGTCGAATAACTCCATCACGTACGCGTTGTTAGGAGATGCGTTACGTAAACGCTCTAGGATCATTTGGGTGTTTGTGAGGTGAGCTGGAATGTGGTTAAGCGACCGGGTAAGGATTAGGCTTAAAAACTAGGTTCTATCTGTTGGCCCGCCTACTGATGATGGGTCTAACCTTAAATGATGACAGATTGGTTAAAGCAAGGTTATCAGGTGATATCAACTTATATGTTTTAATAAGTAGGTTTTAAATGGTTTTAAACCTGTAGCCTTTGCCACACTGATCCATTGATTGTTTAGCTCTCGATATTGACTTTTACACAGAGGATGGGCGATAGAGGGTAGCATCACTAAGATGTTCCTCTATTATCTCAACATCCAGCTGGCGAGAAATAACTACGAACTTTCCCCCTTATCACTAACAGACAATCTTATTGTTTTCGAGTTTATTAATTCTCTAATTTCTGGCGTGCCATATTTTTTGTGCGGCTGTAAGGTTAGAGATA